CGGTGTTTCAGGGCCGGTTCAGAGCTGGAGCTTGAAAAGCACCGGGTTTTCCTGTTCACACCGCAGTGGAGCAGCCTCTTAGCTCCGGAATCCGGTTCATTTCGAGCCCCCAAAAATTGTCCGGCCAGAGCAGAAGCACCGCATAGGTCACGCTTACGTCGAGGCGGGGGCAGGGGCGGGATCAACTCCTGAACAACAACAAAAAACCCGCGTTTTATCCAGTTTGTACACAACGATGGAGTATTTCACAGAAGAGACCAGCTACCTACTGGGAATCTGGTCTTCAGAAGAGGTACAGAGGAAGCTGGAGCACAATCGGCCATTGTTGTTGTTGTCGGTGTCAGCTGTGAGGGGTTTCCGCGGTTTGGCTTTATGAAGCAGGCACGCAAACGGTTACGTCATGACGCAAACGATGACGCAATGACGCAGCACCAGTCGGACTCTGGGCAGTGTGAAAAGTATTTTCAGTGTTATCTGCATTTGGCTCCTGCTTGCTTCGCTCACCCGTAACAGATGGAAGAGAGGCTGCAGGTTATGGAAAGGAGAGAGACATGGAAAATGAATGTTGACAATGTTTTGTGATCATTTTAGCCTCTTCTGCATGTCCAGATCATTAATAGTAACAATCAACTGATTCTTATGCATTACACTTTCAAAAATAATTTATGCTGACATTGTCAGCCCACTGACATGGTTTGAAATCAATATACTATCCCATTTGTGACCCCCCACAGGACTTAAAAAGCACCTAACTAGATCATGAAAATCCCCAAAATCTCAGGGGGTATCCCCCGAACCCCGCTCACATGTTTGGACCTCGGTATTTAGGAAATCCTGCATACGGCCCTGGGTGGGCGTGTCTGAAACTCGACCATCAACCAATCACATGAATCTCCCGCCCCGGACACACAAGCAGGGTGTTTGATTGGCTAGAGCTTGTACTGGCATATGATTTGATTGACTGACTATTCCGTCGAAGCTTCAAAAGTTGTACTTTGTCAACTTTTGAAGCGAGCAACGCGAAGCGACAGAACCACAATGCAGTTCGGCAAAGCGTGACGTCACCCCATTCAAAGTGAATGGGAAGAAGCGTTGAAGCTTCAACGCACGCCGCCGTGTGGATGGGCCGTTAGAGTATTCCAGAGCTACGAGAAGGAAGCTACACAGGGAAAATACACACTATAAATACATTTACACACCTTAAAAAACCATTTGCATTCTGCACACCTCCAAGCTAAACACTAATTAAGAAGGATAAAAAACTGTGTTCATGCTTTTGTGGTTATACTTTTCTGAGAAGAAGGTAACTGGTGTTTGGTTGATACATGAAGTAACTGGAAATATAAGCAGTGCACACATCTGTTTCAGCATGAAGGGTGTTCTTTTCCCCAGAATGACCACGTCGCTGCACATTATCCCGCTTATTACAAGGCCACATTCTCAACAAAGTAACGACACGACTCCCAATATTAATTGAAATGCTTTTATAGATTTAGAAAATGTTTTATTGATTTCAAAATTAATATTATTGATTTCAAAAATACTTTTATTGATTTAAAATGACATGCATCCGCGAAGAAAAATAGTCCGTTGATAACGTTTGAACTACGTAGCAACAGCAGGAACGGCTTTGATAGCGTTTTTGAGGAGCTTTTTGATTACAGATTTGAAAACATCCTTGCTTGCTTTAAAAGTAGCACAATTCATTATGTAAAACCTTGGAAAGTATCTAGATATCCCTGCCCTAATGCCAAAGTAACTGGCAACTGAATATGTTTTGCCGTTTGATGTCTATGTCTGTCCCTGTTGTCTTACTTCTGGATTAACGTGTCACGTGTTCTGAATTGACCAATCATAAACGAGTATTCAACTAAGCCATGTAATAATGTGAATTAATCATTTTTTTAATGTTCTTTTTTGCTTCAGACGCCCACCAAAGTCAACACAAAAGGCCTTGAGAAGATATTCAAACTAGATATTTTCCTCATGTATTTCCTGAGAGACAATCCTAAAGCATACAAATTATTACAGAAACAACTCTCATGTATCGGCTGCCAAGTAGAGTTAGATTTTGAGGAGGAGGAGGCAGTGGTAAGGGGGGATATTGAAAAGGGACCTGGAGGAGCTTTTGGGGCTGCAGAGCAGTGGGAGTTACAGGTCATCGAGTCCTTGATCAATTTCACTGAGAGCTACCTCCTGCTATCATTGTGGTTGAGCCGAAAAGAAGCCAAATCCTACTGCAGGACCTCTCCTTTGTGACAGACGATATTAAAGTGTACAGAGAGGGCGGTTATCCCAGTTTGGTTGTGGAGAAACTGAGGCTGGTGCATGAGAAAAATAGCAATCCTCGGAAAAGAGCCCTGACAACCCCGGAGGAGTTACCATTGTGGAGAAGCTGTTTCAAGCTGGTAGAGGGAAGAGTATGAGTCGAGACAAATGAGCGGCAAAATACCCCAGAAGTTAAGACAACATAGGCAGCGACATGGTGAGACCGTTAAGAGGGGCTGACAAAGAGGAACAGTCAGGAGCCAAACACATTTGAAGGAACTGAAGAAAAAAGTAAAAGGAAGAGCGAGTTAAAAACTATCCCACAGCCCTGGATTAACCTTTATAGCGATCCACGGTCTGTATCCAAGTACCAGACCCGCTCCAGCAGAGACTCAGAAAATACCTGTTTCCCTGGAGGTTGGGTCCGAGCTGGTCATGTCCAGTTTGTCTCCGATGCCCTCGATGAGGCCAGGAGCCACGCTGCAGAGAAGACTTTGATGTGGCCAATGTCGAGGCTGCAGGGGGCGCTCTAACTGCCACTCCAGATTCAGATGGATTAAAGGAAATCCTCCTTCAAAAAGCCAAGAAACGAAGCCTAACTCTCCGAGAGTTCAGAGTAATGTCAGCTTCATTCCCAGGAACCGGTGGAACCCCAAACACCAAAGTACAAGACTGGTTGGCTACAGAGAAAAATGTGAATAGGCTTAAAGATGGTTCTGCATGACTACCAGATCAACCAAATTCGGGAACACAAGAAAGTTCTAAACCTACCGAACCTTGACATGCTTGAATGTTTTGATAAGAGTTTTTAGGAAATGATTGGATGAAGCAGAACAAAGTGACTTGAAAGCCTCACCTTTCCCATACCCCTGTGTGCCTTGTGTCTGGTCCTGTCCGTCTGGTCAAAGAGGCAAGCAGGATCTTAATCTCAGCTCTAGCTAGTTCTGATCTCCGACACTTTGGTTCTGGACGGACCCGGGGCTCTGCAAGTTACTTTCCAAGCAGAAGGTAAAGGTGGGCAAGAGAGTTGGTAGAGAGCTCAATTTCAGGATTATCGTCAAAGGAAACAAGCAAGGTGTGGCATTCAGCAAATGTGCAAAGTAAACCACGAAGCATCAGCATGCCTTGTAACCAGCGCCTTGGCACACGGAGCGACCTCCCCCAGATTGCGCTGCAATACTGTTTGGAAGCAATGTGGCCATAAAGACGAGCCTGGAGACAAGCTTGGCAGTCTGATAGATGCTCAAGCGGTTTGAACATTTCCGCTTAACTTTAAATTAGAATAATGAAATCACAATACACCACTCACATTGATATAATCACACATTGTTTCCCACAGGTGAATGTGTTGGTTGTCCCCCATGCTCAACAAGAACCTCACTTCTACTAAAGATTGGTAAATGTCTGTTTAAAAAAGGCGGGAATGCAATCAAGTCCAAAGTTTGGACTCGGTGGCAGCGAATTGTACCGTTTGCTCCTGGTGATGTCCCTGCAGGTGAGACGCGCCCTCCATGAGTCTGGGCTGCTCAAACTCTTCTTCATCGAGTGCTTGCCATGGGATGGAGTCAAGAGGCAAGAGTGTGAAGGTAAAGTTAAATACTTTGGTGGAGTTTAATATTGTGATAGGTGCGGCAAAGATTCAAACTCATGTGGACCTGCATTCAAATCCCATGAATTAGAAACAAAGAAATCAGGCTAATTAATGGAAATTAACCTGTACTTTCAAATGTTTCTAATTTACAACCGACCCATTTTAAATATACAATCACAGAAAGTGTTGTGCAATGCCAACGGTTAACTTTTTGACCACAACAAAGTTTCAGATTTTTTTCGCAGGCGCTTGGTAATGCTAAGCAGATGCTTGGACCTTTTGCTACCAGCAGGCATAGCTCAGTTGCCTTTCCAGTCATTGGACCCGGATGTTTAAAATACCCAATGAAAGAGCCTTCAAGTGCTTATGAGAACATTTGCCACTTGGATTATCTGGCGTCCTCTGGATCTCTCACCAACCATCCAGATCGTCAATTAAACCAGGCTACCCCTGACTCTGAGGAGGGTGACTATGATCACTTGTTTAAGAATCATGATTTCTGAAATAATTTTTAAGTCTGCTGTTTTTAATTACAGTGGCTACCAAGATGTCTAGACAGGCACCCTAGCTTAATTG